TAAGGAGCGCGGGCGGGTGGCTGGGCCCTTCGCCGTTCCCGGAAGTTACTTACTTCCGGGTTCGCCAACCAACCGGTTCGCGGGGACCGCCACGAACCAGTTGAAACCCACCCCTGCTCCTGAAGCCCCTGCACGGCCCAGTTTCGGCCTGCCCGGCTTCCTGCGGTACTCTGCCTCCCTAAAACTGACCACGCAGAGGCCCCTGTTTTTGGCAGATAGAATGTTGCTGAACGCCCTCAAAAAAGAGGCTGAAAAACTGGGTGCGTCTTATACACTGAATACAGATTTTTTTGCCTCCTGAAACCCCACCCCCTTCACCAAAATGGCCATGCGTTGCCTTTAGGAGGCTTCCAGAGTGTTGCTGGACGCCAGGGAGGCCGAAAACGGGCCGTTTAAGGGTTGCAGGTGACCCGTTTTGGCCAGCAAATGCACTGGGGGCCGGTACTTTGATATTTCCAGGCCAGCTCCATGGGCTGCATTTAAGCACCACCCTACAAGCCGGATCCGACCTGCGAACATTGAGTTTCACACCCCTGTTATAGAGGTTTGCTTTGATAATACCGTTACTTCACTTCGTGTTTGTTTTTCATTTCAGGGAAACAGCGACGGAAAGTGTGTTCCAAGATCTCCTGCAGATTTTGAAAAAAGTTTCACATGAGATTGAAGTGACCTGCCAGGATGCCAGTACATTGGGACATCTGGATTCACGGCTGCAACTGTTATCTGAATGTTTTCGGTGCCTTCGGAATGCTTGCGTGCAGAGTGCAAATAGCCAAAATATTATGAGGTATAGTTTTGGCTCCTGTGAGTGAAGCCTATACATGCATAGCTTTATTTGTAATGCTTAAATTCCATCCTTTGTTCATGTTTCTGAGTTTTTATCGGATTTAACTTGGGAAGCTTGCTCTCTTTGAAATCCATCTCTCTCTTTGTTAATTCACTTCATCTTTTGTCTACTCCCAGCATATTAATAGGAGATGATTTGTCTCTGGCATTGGAATGAAACCTTGTGAGTGAATGAATTCATTGGTCAGGCTCACGGACCGATGCATAATATTGTATTTGTTTGACTCTGTTCAAAAGTATTAGATTAGACCTCATTTTGCAATCGGTGCCTTCCCCCCCCCCCTTTGGGTGTTTGGCGGTTATTTTCTTCTTTTATGCCGTCTGAGTATGTTGTACAGTGGAACTATTCAGAGATGGAAGTTCAGTGAACTACTGTATTTTTCGGAGTATAAGACGCACCTTTTTCCCTCAAAAAAGAGGCT